AACGCAGTTTGAAAAATCCAACATAGGTTTAACACAGTAATAAATCTTTTATCTAAAAAAGCCCACTGAGCCAATTATTGAATTCAATTACCTGAAGTCACTCTGCAGTTTATGAATCATTAAGTGCCACACTCCGCTACTATTCCAGTTTATACTTGCACCAGACCTTAATGTGCTCTAACAGATTAAAGTGATTTTTTTTTTAAAATCTGCCCTAATACGTCAGATAAGAATAAATGCAGATACGATAAAGGTTTACTGGGGGCGCTTTGGACCAACAACTCTCGTGTTTTCGCCTCTATTGCTGCAAACACACCACGCTGTTTGCAACAAAATCGGTTTCTATTGGGTTTTATGACCACATCTTTGTGCGAGAGCTTCTTGGAAACGGATCCGAGGGCAACATTTAAGCAAGAGAAGTGGGTTCTCGGTTGCAACCGGTGCAAGTCGACCCAGACTTTACACAGATACACATTGGTCAAAGAGCATAGGGAGAGAGAGAGAGAGAGAGAGCACATTCCATTCCAACAATCTATCTCTGGGATGTCAATCTATGGAGGTGGGACGACCCTGTTCTATTAATGATATTTTATGGCATTAAGTGTGCAAGTTCTTCCCCACTTACCAGACCGTCCATATTTTGGTTGCTATCACCTTTATGTAAAAAAGCTCATAACCATCTGCGCTTCATCAAGATTTACTGGAAAGTTGTTTGACTCTCAGAACGTATTAGTGCCCCTATCTAACCCACTACCAAAACATTCACCAAGGTTGAAAATGAACAAGGCAATCATTCACGTTAAGATAAATTAGATCAGGATGCTTAAGCAAAACATTAACATTAATGTCTCTGCGTGCACCACTGTCAGTGACTCATTTAACGGACCATTTTGGATAATAATAATCATCATCATCATCATCATAATAATCCTTGCATTTGATATAGCGCCTTATCACGTCTTTGAGACATCTCAAAGCGCTTTACGGAATATACTGTGGCTTCCACGTTTCGCCTGCAAAATATAGGATTATTATTATTAATAATATTATTAGTAGTATTATTATTATTGTTGGCCAGGGCACTGGACATATAGACCGACAGGACAGATAGTTAGACAGATAATCCACCAAGCTGTGATCACTGGTGAATTGGGATGTCAGTGAGGCTGCTGCTGCTCAGCCTCTATGTAAACCCGAATGATTGGCTGTGTTTGTGTGTGTATCGTGGAGTCCTGTAGCTCAGTGGTTAGAGCACTCGCTTTGCAAGCGAGAGACCTGAGTTCAATTCCAGGCAGAGGGCGAAACCTTGGGCAAGTTTCCTTACTCCACACAGAGCCTAATAATAATCCCTCCAAAACCAAAAACAATAATAAATTGGTCATTTTCAATCCACGGCTGTTTGTGGGACATCGCTGTGCGCAATTGGCTGCCGCGTTCGCCCACAAATATACAGTCAATTCACTTTACAGTATAGTCTGTGAAGCGCTTTGAGACGTCGAGAAGACGTGAAAAGCGCTATATCAAATGCGAGGATTATTTAGTAGAAGCGGTGGCTGGGACACTGGAGGGAGGGAGTGCACGATGGAGCTGGGGAGCGCTGAGAAATTCCTGGCTTGGTCCTGAGTGACTCCGGCTTGGCCCAGGATGATACACCTTCCGTGTGGAGTGATGTGACACAAGGAGAAAGTCATTGCCGGCAGCTTCAGACTCTTGCTGTTTGCCCGTTGCTAAACTGTACACACACACAGTGTACACACCTACACACACACATATAGTGTACACACCTATACAGCCACACACACAGTGAACACACCTACACACACACAGTGTAGACACCTACACACACACATATAGTGTACACACCTACACACACACATATAGTGTACACACCTACACAGACACACACATAGTGTACACACCTACACACACACAGTGTACACACACATATAGTGTACACACCCACACACACAGTGAACACACCTACACACACACACAGTGTACACACCTACACAAACACACACATATAGTGTACACACCCACACACAGACAGTGAACACACACACACACAGTGTACATACCTAGACATACAGTGTACACACCTACACACAGTGTACACACATGCACACACACCTAGATACACACAGTGTACACACCTACACATACATATAGTGTACACACCTACAGATACACAGTGTACACACCTACACACACAGTGTACACACCTACACACATAGTGTACACACACATTGCATTACAGACACACACACACTGACCACACAGCACATCTCCCCCACACCACAGATCACAAGTGGGCGATGGACCGGTTGGTTTGGTTTCTGTGACAGCTTTACTGATCCCCACATCGCTGTTGGTGACACATGTCTGTACAGGAGGGAAAGAAGGAAAGAAGGAAAGAAAGAAGCGAAGGAAAGGAAGAAGGAGCCGGTGGCAAAAAGGAGAGAGAGAAAAGGGGGAGAGATCACTGCAGATCCACAGCCAC